ATATATAAGAAAGCAAAAGAACATGGTTTTGTTGGATTAAATTCAAACTTCATATAGTTGCAATGCAAATTATTTTAACTGTTATTTTATGTGACCTTTGGATCTTGCGCCAAATCAACATTTCCCTTTTTAGCCAAGCTGCACAATACTTCAACACTTGATACCTTAGTTTGCAAAATGTACAAATAATTACATTGACATACAATCAACGAAATATATTGTTACTTATTGTGTATTTAATGAAAAGTTTGGAAAATTATGAAAATTTAAAAACATTTTAAGACGAGTTGTTTAGAAGAGACCTTCTAATATTAATTATTTAGTAGTTCCACTTTCATAACTCCATATGAAATTTTATTATAAATTTTACTGTATTGAATTTATTGACTGTTTGTTTCCAAACCTTATTGGTTAGCCTTTAGGAATATACTTTCAAATTTCATCCAAAAAATCATAATTTACTAATTTTGTATCAGATATATATTTAATGCACTTTTCCTAATTCTATTAAAAATATTATTCAGTGCATTAATAACAAAAACCTTGTTGCAAAGATAAGACATGTAATCAGCACACTCGCTTGAGCAGTCACTACTTATAACCATACATAATGTAGCTTTCCCAGCAATAACACAAGCACAAATAAGTGTTGCTATACAAGTCATGCTGTACAAATTTTGTACTCGACTGCTTATAATGAAACTCCAATAACAGCCATTTCCCAACAACTACTACTTTACATTCCTGTCAGTAGCTATTATCCAGAGGTTTGACAACTATATTTCAACAAAAGCATGTATTTTGCCAAAGCACTGTCATTTGTTCTTAAATAAATGAGTTATGTAAAATATATCATAAGTTATCCTTAGATAGACAGATTTTAATTGTTTGATAGCAAATATGCTGTTAGCAGAACTTTAGAATGGAATAGTATTCATTTTACTGTCATATTTTTTTTTAATTTTTAATGCACTTACCTAAACAAAAATTCTAGAGTAAGTATATACTTAATTCCTTTGTGTCTAAAATTTTCAATGTTTAACAACTATTTAGTATGACTGCTTAAAATTATTTCTTATTGGAAATATCCTAGCATTCCCGGAATCTGGGTATGTCCGTTTAGGCAATAATTTTCTTATAAATCTATAGATTTTTAAGGTTACATTTTAGCCAATACCTTTTTTTTATCCTGATGTCCATTCATTTTTGTTATAAATTAAACCCATCATTTGATCTGTTTTCCTTATTCTTGATAATACAGGACACTATCTGGATCAGAAACGTCTCAGACAGGGACTGTATCGCCACCCATGGGACGACATATCTTACATCCTCCCAGAAACCTTGATGGGATCGTCCTAAAACGGGCGGCCATCGGAATGAGAAGTATATTTATGTACAATTGAGAGAATATTTTTGTCACCCTTCCACGTGTCTCCTCCTCAGAACGACCGTCTGCCGCTTCGGCCATCTGTCGGAAACGTCAAATTTTGGACTCCGTTAGGTTGTCAATACAGTAATAGCAGCATTGTTTTATTCTGTTCTGTCATGTACACCATAAGCTGTTTTATTTGTCGGTCGTTTTTACGTCTGTTTTAAGCATTTATTTTAATTTTTTTTTTTTACCAAACAGAAGTGGTTTTACGTTAAATGCTTAGTAGCAAACAAAATTATATATATATATATCTATCAGAGAGAGGTAAGACATTATATATCAAAGTGTAAAATGATACATTAAATTATGACAATAAGTTATCCTGTCTTGTAAATTTAAAATAACGTATACACAGATTTAATATATTATATACAGATGAAAACAGGTAAGAACTGTAACTTATTTCGTGTAGATGACAATAAAATGATTAAATTCCTTGCCGTTCTTATCGGTATTTTGATACCCTAGCTTACTCTTAACAGGTCTCTATAGAAGGGTTTCAGTTTATTCCACTGGAACTTTTCGACGTCAATCTGAAAATAAAGATTTTCATCTTTGTTATTGTCATGTAACTTTTATCCCATTTGAAGAATTGTCATGCTTACCTGCAAAACATGATTTCTGATGAGATTTGGATGTTTGCAAAATCTCTTGAGTTTCTTGAGAAGTTGATTTGAAGTATTGTACAGGTATTCCTCTGAAATATATTCCAAAATTAGATGTTTGACATTCTGTTAGAACCCTAATTCTTTAAAATTTTAAACATTTGTCATCAAATTTTCTAGGATAACTAATGAGCTTTAAAGGGGGTAGGACCTGGCATAGGCTGTTTTTAAAATTTTGCATGCCACTCTGTTGCAAGAATTAAACTAGATTTTACACTTACATTCAGAGTGGCTGTAATATGCGAATTAATATACATCAAAATAAGATCCAAAACCCGATCATAAAGTTGTTCTTAAACACTCGTGTGCACAACAGGCAATCACATGTCATGTAAACTGCAAAATGTCTGCCTCTAGAGCATGGATGGCTAACCCATGACACGGCAGAGTTTTAACAGTGGCAGGTGAAGACTTATTAAAAAATTTGAAAAATTGTTATTTTTCAATGTTGTCTTCAGGAACTTTGTCAAAATCTGTAAAACCCCTACTTGTATGCCACTGAATACAACAGCGCCAGAAAGTGGCACTGCTTGACACCAGTACAACGATGCGGTAAGACAGGATTGTCACGGGACAAGCCCAATGGTTTGAGTTGCCTTGCTTTGGCACATTTGTGTCTTGCTATGGTTGTCCATTCTCGAGCAAGAGTGAATGCGACACTCTGGCTGTCAGGCTCAGTTGATTTTAGTGTTGCCCCCTTTTCAAAATTGCTGACCCAGACGGCAGATCAGGTTTGTTCGAACAAGTCCCTGATGCACGTGCAATGTTATTTTACCACGCAAATAATAACGTGCACGCCAGTTCTAAACCAGTTAGGGACTTGTGTAGGAGCAACTTTAATGCTAATTTCATTTCTTAATTTAAGAGCAGAAAAGCAAAAAAAATAAAAAAGAAAAAGGTCACCAGGTTGCAACATACATTGACATAAGATGGCAAATTAAGTTTCAGTGAGAGAGAGTGAAATCTTTTACTGTTAAAATAAAGTAAATTTATAAAAATATTTGCTAGTACTTTGTTTCATCATAATTTCACAATTTCTACAAAATCCTGGACAATGAATTAAAAACCGGACTGTGGCAACACTAGTTGATTTTAAACTGCCCAGCAAGACGTTAAACTTTTTAAAACTGTTTTTAGATTTTGGCATCGAACGTCGTCATTTTTTAAAATTTTATTTTCACTATGTCCATGAGTAAACCTTTGACATCGAAAAGAAAATATGACGAGGATATTGCAATTCACGATTTTTAAAACTGGGAAGACCAATTTTTGTTTATGCATCAAAATACTTCCTGTTAATAAGCCTGTTTGTTTGATATGTGGAATTTGTGTAGTAGTACCGAAAATTTAACCTGGACCGGCATTTTAAACAACTGCATAGTGATTTCAACAGCAAGCAAATATCCTGTCAGATCACACTTTCAAATGGAATTTATCAATAAAAAAAAAATCTTTAGCTGGCCAACGATTCTTGTTCCAGAAGAGAAATGACAAAGTGAAAACTATGATGAAGGCTTCTTACGAACTTTCTCTGTTAGCCCGCAAGAGAAAAAAACCCTATTCTGACGAAGAGGAAATAATAAAAAAATAGCCTTTTAATATTTGCCCAAAACGTCAGTGATTATAAACATCAAAAATATGGTTGATGATAAAATAGCTTTGTCTAGAAATACTGTCATGCGTCGTTTAGATGGCATGGGCCAGAATGTTGGTGCACAAATTGTCTCTGGACTACAATATTGCAAATACTTTTCATTACCTTTGGATGAAAGCTGTGATATCACAGACAATGTGCAGTTAAGCATGTTTGTGCGTTACACGAACGATAATTTTTGATATTGTGGAAGAACTAACTTCTTGATTTGCGCCAACTAGTTTTAACTATAGGTGAGGACATTTTTAAAAAACTTATAAATGTAATTGAAGTTAACAAAGTAGAGTGGACAAAATTAGATAGTGTTTGCACAAATAGAGCACCTTGCATGATTGGCAGGAAGAAATGTTTTCTTACATTGCTTGAAAATTATTTTGGAAGAAATGTTTTTAAGTATCTTTGTATTATCCATCAAGAAGCTCTTTGTGCCTGTAGCGCGCTGTATCAAGAAAATATGAGCTCGAGCTCTGAATCAACAACAATTTTGTGAGTTTTTTCTGGAAGAAACGGAAGAGGATGGCGAGTTACTCCTTCATTGTACTGTGCACTAGCTTTCCAAAGGAAGTGCACGTGCAAGATTTTGGAATTTGAGGGAGTATGTTTTAAAATATCTGGAAGAAAACAATGAACTGCCCAGTGAGTGCTTGCTACTCAAGAATGAAGATTGGCTATGGGATTTAGCTTTTCTCACCAATATTATGGGACATTTAAATAGTTTAAATTTAAGATTACAGGGAAAAGATTGTATTTTTCTACCTTAGTTGCTCATATATCTTTTGTGAACAAACTGGTGTTAATCTTTTTTCTGAGACAAAAAGCATATTTCACATTAATGCAGGAACTAGCTACCGAAGTCAATAATGCTCCGAACTATGATAGATTTAAAAATTTAATATTCATTTTGCAGGATTCATTCAGTGCTAGGTTTGATTTTCAAGATGATAAAAAAATGCTGATCTTTTCACAAATCCTTTTTCAATTTCTCTGCAAGATGATAATTGTTACCCACCTGAAATCCAAATCGAAATTATTGACCTACAGCACCATACTACACTGAAAAGCAAATATAAGGAACTTATTTCAACTGCAAGTGATCCAAATTATATTGAATTTTGGAAATTTGTACAATTTGGCTGTCAGATATTGTTGTAGGTTTGGATCACTGTATGTTTGTGAACAAATGTTTTCTATTATAAACATAATAAAATCAAAATATCAGTCAAGATTAACTGATATGCACCTAAAACACCTAATTAGCATCTTCAAGAACTAATCCTAATGTAGATGACTTGTAAAAACAAAAACTACAAATTCAAAAGCCACATTAATTAAGCACCGACTGTTTAACTTGAAACATTTAATTCTAAATAAGGGTATGTGCTTGAAGATANGCATAAATTGTTTTTTCAGATAGTGGCACTCTTCCCAAAAAGGTTGGCCACCCCTGCTCCAGGGTGTACACGAAAATTGAACTTTATTTTCTTCAATTTAATGGCTATTCTAGTAGTTGTTACCCAAAGACAATGTTTATAGAGCAAAATTAAGTCAGAATATTTTCTGTAAGTCTTTATTAATGACATACTTTGTCAGAAAGTGTCTGTTCTCTGGCTAGGAAACAATAGTGTTTAAATTAAATGTAATCTACTTAAGAATTAATCAAGTTCACTATAATGCAAAATACACAACACTCCACAAAGACAAAAAGTCAAAGCACAAGAACTTAAAAAAAATGATCACACTGGTTGATCTGTAGGTCAATGTTATAAATGTAGCTCTTCTGACAACGGATTTTAAAATAATTTTTGAACATGTTGTTCCATAGGTTTTTTAAAAATAATATGTAAATGTTATTCTTTGCATTCCAAGTTCGAATCTTACTGGTTTTAAAAACCTGAGGAAGACTGGGGTACGGTCGAAAACGTTACTTTTCCATTAAAGTGTCATTACTGGACTTTTAAGGTTCTCGAGTGTAAAGTATTCAAGGAGTTTATATATATTTAAAATAATTGCATACTAAGCTGCATGAATGAGACATTTTAAATACAAAATATGATTGTAAAAAAAGTTATAGATTCTGCAATCTACTAATTTAGATTTGCATGGCTCAATTGAAATGTTACCATAAGAGCCTCAAAGGCCACATAGCAGCTTTGCTTGGCAGTGGCGGTGCTGCCCACATGTGAAAAATTTACATTTAAAAAATCACCTCCAAGTGTGTATGAAACTGGAAGGTGACTTATGAGCAATGTGGCTCACATGTAGGAAAGAAGAAATGGGGAAAAGATTGTGTCCATCCATTGGTCTTACAAAATTCAGATTATCTTGTTGTAAATCATTAAACAAATTAATTATTTTCACATCCGAAAAATCATTTCAAGACTTGGCAATGAAATTAGGAAACCAGACAGTAGTGTTGCACATTAGCAGCACTGCTGACACACTACTAAATTAGTGGTATGGGTTGCAGTTGTGAAAGCTATGATTCAATTCCTAGCATTACATTCAAAAGTGCTACAGACGGTTTGGTTACTATTATAGAAAGAATATATTTTAAAATTCATGTTGTTTCAATCAGTTGTCTAGTAGAGTTTTACACCCGCTTTGTCATTGACCTTTATTCCTGAATGATTTCAATCAGAATCAAATTGAAAATATAACATTTTGTCTGTTTAATTCAATCATAATCATTGAAACTCTATTTTAATATACATACCAGGATAAATCTCTGGATACACCAGTCTATTGGGACAGAGAGGATAACATCTGTGTTGAATGGCTTCTAACCTGAAGGCATATAAGTTATTGTTATAGATCTATAAAAATAAAAGGCACCTTGTTACATGCTTACATAAACATTTTCACTTATTATCTTGAATAGAAATGCATTATAATGCATGACTTACATTGCCACTCCAAAAAACTCCTGTTTTGCCGTAGACACTACTACATCGGCACTTGCTAAGACGCGAAGATATTCTTCTCTCGTCTCCCGGTAACCCCAATTATCAATATTTTCCTTTAACGCCACTTTTGCTTTACTAAAAATATCTATTCAAAATCAGAAATTTTGTCATCGATAGATAGCATTTCTTTCCTGAATACAACAAATTACCTGGAATTTCTGAATAAGATTCCCCAATTACTGATAATCTGAAGGAATGTTGTTCTTTTAAGCAGTATAGTACTTCAAAAAACTCTTCTGGATTCTTGTCATGCTCCCTGAAAATATTTAATATGCATTACACAAATATATATTAACCATTTGAATCAAGCCAGTGTATACTTACCATCTATGAGGCCAAACAATATGCAATGGTGTCAAATCATCCAAGACATCAGAAGAATCCTTGTTTTTGCTCAGAGACGTACATTGGCTCTCGGACAAATTGTTCCATTCATCTCCTTCGAGTAAACCGTTCAATCTTTCATTTAGAGCCATACTAGTTAACGGATAATACAAAACTCTGCACTTGGGACGGATTTTCGATTCCAGATCTTTTGGTCTGGGCTTCGGCATTATAGTGAAATAGGTCGATAGGGCGTGCAGGAAAGATTCTTGATTGAAGCAAGAGTTAAAAACTATCTCGTCTGCAACTAAACTAAAAAAGAAAGTAGTAATTTTTCAAATTATAAAACTGGTTATGTTGGTTGCAATTTTAAGTAGTGCTGAACAAATGAGCAATTTATATATCTAGTCTGAAATACCAGTATATGGTATCAGTGGATTACAGTAATACCTCGACTTACACTACCCCAACTTATGCGAACCTGGAGTTACGCGATTTTCAAATCTCGCCAATTCGTCTCTTGTTTGAGCACTACGCAACTCTTGATTACTCATTTCCCCCACACTATTGTTTAGCTTACATGTTCGGACATGTCGCGCGAAATCGACACATAGCTACAATTTATTTTGTGTTATTTATTTCTGTGTTTGTTATATCTATGGAGACTTGAGAGACTCTATGTGGTGATTTCTTGTAACCGTGATCGAATCAAAAGACGAGATAAGATTAATGAGAACATTTATTAGCTTACATACATTCGACTTGGATTTTACACAAATTGCAAAATTATACCCCAACTTACACAAATTCAACTTATGTGGTTATCGCTCAGTCCCACGTATTGCGTAAGTTCGGGGTATTACTGTACTGGATTTTGTAAGTACTGTACATACATACCATACAGTATAAAATGTACTTAGTTCACAGATTAGTCATGATTAATACAATAAACTAACTGTGCAACAAACTAGCAACTGACATTATACACA